GTGTAGCCGCTTCCAGAGCGTTCTCGCTAACTCGCGGTCGTGGTTGATGTAAAAGATCGTCTTCCTCCATGACGTGTCACAGTAGTGGTTAGAGAAGCGTGGGTGGCCCTCGGTGACGAAGCCGTAGGCACTCGCCTGGGGAAGGTTGGAGGAGAAGCGGCCTGCCCGTCGCTCCCTCCCACGCTGCCCCTCCCAGGCTAACTCTGCTGGGGGCGGGTCCCTTCATCTGGGTTCTGTCCCTCGGAGTCTGCTTCAGGCTCCTGGGTGCACTTGCACACATGCATGCCTCCACCCCCAGGGGTGTGCACCCAGCCCAGCCATTGCCCCATGGTAGGCAGGCCAGGGGTACCCCACAGCTGCCTCTCCAGGTACTCCTACTCCTGAAGCAGAGCCTCACCTGGCCACAGGGCCTCACCTGCCCACAGAACCTCACCTGCCCACAGAACCTCACCTGGCCACAGAGCTGAAGGGCGATGAGCAGCAGGAGGGCCCCAGTGGAGGGGCAGTATATTCTCCAGTGGACGGTATCCAGGGTCTTAGACCTCAAGAACCTGTGAAGTACCCCAGCCCCCCAACCATCAGGAAGGCGCAAGGGTGGGGAGGATCTAGCCCCTTCTGTGCTTTCCACTCGCACCTGTTCTTCACGTATGGGAGGAAGTCTGGACGCAGCAACAGGTACCTGTCCAATCACAAGTCTTCCCGAAAAGCCTCCTGGGGCCTGTGCCTATGGGCAGGGGCGGTCATTCAGGCTCAGTGCTCTTACCTCGCCCAGTGTGGGCCACATCAGCTTCGTGGGCATGTGACAGCTGAGACTGTCCCCACCTGTCCCACCCTGCACAGCTGCTCACTGCACGGCTCAGCCTGGGTAAGGGGACAAGGCAGTGGCTACCTGAACCAGAAAAGGCTCTTTTTCACCGGGGTCTGATTCAGGAGCAGTGCCTCCAGCCACTCATCGTCCCAGGCACCTTCCAGGAAGTGCAGGCAGCAGATGTCCTGAGGACCGAGGACACCGAGCGGTCGGGGACTGCTGCCTGCGGGCCCACGGGCTGTGGTGGCCCAGCTCCCACTCCAGACTGCCCAGCGGCAGGTGCCTGGCTGTCCTCCCGGCTCTCGCCCCGAGTATGAACAGAGCCCGTACCGACCACAGACTCCAGGCCCAGGGGGCCCAGCTGCCTTTCTCGCCTGGGTGCTCCCTCATCCAAACCCATTCCCCTCGGCTCACCTTCCCCAGGGGCACGTGCCGGAAACCCCGACGGCCCAATATGACAAGCGACCGGGTCAGAGAGAAGGCAGTAAAGCCATAGAAGGACGTCCGAGCACCCACGTCCTGTTCATAGCCCTCGGTGACAGCTCCGCTCAGGCTGTGCAGAAAGACAAAGCAGACAGAGCACACGCGTGCAGGGGTGAGACGCATGCAGGTGGGAGGGGAGGGGGAGGAGAGTCGGCAGCTGTCACACACGGGCGCTCTCCAGAGAGCCAGGAACGCCACCTTCCAGAAACAGGCGTGGACCGCCCCGTCGGCTCCCTCAGAAGAGCCTGTCTCTGCAGGAGAGTGGCCGGGGGGCGGCCGGGCGAGGGCCAGCTCACCGGAACACGTAGTCATGGCTGTCTGTCTGTCTCGTGGCCCACGCCCGAGTTGTTCAGGATGCTCCCATTGCCCAGCATGGCGCAGCTGATGCTCCGGGGGCCCCAGCAGGGAGGCTGGTCAGGAGCAGCTGCTGCTGGGGCCCTGGAGGGAAGCGAGTCACCACCTTCTGCACCACTGGAACAAGGGGGTCTCCATTCAGAGCCCTGGGAGGGCCAGGGGTCCCGCCCATCCTTTCTCCCGGAGCTGGTGGTCCTCAGCGAAGAGGCGAGAGGCAGCCACCCTCCGCCACGACCGAGGGCGCAGCCAGGCTCCCCAGGACCTCGACTCACAGGAGTGATCGAGCTCCATGGAGCCAAAGGGAGGCACGAAGTGCTGCAGGCGGCTCCACTCGCTCTGGCCAAAGCATCTAGAGTCCAGGAAGAGGGTGAGGTTGGGCAGAAAGAGATTCCGGAGCCAGAGGGATTTGGAGGCTCTCACCTTCACAGAGTCGGGGCATTTCTATGTGCAGGAGGGCGGGTCAAGCAGAGAGAGGCCGGGGAATGGGGGGGCCACGGCCCCGGGGCTGCGCTGGGGGCCGGGCAGACAGCAGGCCTCAAAGTGTCGGCCTCTGCCACCTCGTCCAGCCCATCCCCAGGCCACCGTGGCCCTGAAGGTTCCCAGAAAAGGGGCAGTTCCTGGCCCTCAAGGCAAACGCTCCTTTGCCATTGTGGGAGGAACAGAACAGCCTGCCACGTCTGTGTCCCGTGTGCTGTAGCGGGCGTGGTTGCAGCTGTGGGTGTATCCTGCACACTTTGAATGCTGCCCTCCTGCGCGTGTGGGCCCAGGCTGCTTTTGGGGATGTCAGAGAGAGAAACCGTGAGGATGTCTCTGCAGGAGGACAAGGCCGTCCCAGGCACCAGGGCCGAGCCCCAGGTGGGGTATCTTTGTCCATTAGTCTCTGCCCCCTCCACACCCGCTGCCTTGCCAGAAGATGGGGCTTCCGGTGTTAAACCCCAGAACACGTCACATCCTGTCGCCCCGATTGATGAGCTTGCAGACATTCTAGGGGGTCCAGGACAGGCTCACACCTTCCCGTGCTGCCCGGGCCGGGATTCTGGGACCTGCCTTGTCCTCCCCTAGTTCAGCCACTACAGGAAAGAAGGATGGGACGGGGTGGGGACGGGGTGGGAGCGGAGCCTGGGGGGTGAAGGAGAGGGCGGGGGCGGGTGGTCTGCCAGGAGGGGCTTCGGAGCGAGGAGACACAGAGCAGGGCCAGTGGCGAAGACGCGCCGTCTGCAGGCCGCCCGCGTCGAAGCTGTATTTTTCCTCGAAATCCCACCTGGGCTGGGACTCCAGTCGGCGGCCCGCAGCCGTGGGCTCTGCGGCCGGGGCGGGGGGAGATGGTCCCACACGGGTAGGCAGGGCCAGGTAATGGTTCGCATTACACGTCAGATGGAGGAGTTTAGACTTATTGACAATCTGTCTACTCGTCCAGGAGGAGCTATGAGAGAATTTCACATGGGAGGCTGAGGGAGTCGGGGCACATAAGCCAATCCCCACCCCAGAGGGCTTTTTCTAGCCGTGGCGGAAGGTAGATTTCGGGTGGCTGGTCTGACTTCTGGCATGCAAGGATTTTGGCTCCAGGGATTGGGTTCACTTTATTTCTTTTATTTTCTGTTTTCATGTGAGGCTGTCAAAAGTATCAATTTATGTAAATCAAATTATGTAAATTAGCATGAGATGCCCCGCTGAGAACAGCCTGGAGCCTCTGCTCTGCACATCCTTTGAGTGAACTTTGGGGCAGGGTCTCTGTGCAACACAGGTTTGGGGGGATTACTGGAGCTTTGGAAAAAAGATCCTTTCTCTCTAGCCATGACCCAGATGGATTTCGAGGCGTCTCTAAATCTTACCGGGCAGCCTAGGCCTCCCTCACTCAGCTTGGTTACTCTTGTCCTGAGCTCTCTCTGTGTCCATCATTCTTCAATTCAGCCACGTATGACAGACTAACCAAGGTTACAGGACGGGAGAGAGAGACAGCGTGAAAAGTGTGGCCAGGTGGACCGAGTGAGCATCTTAGCCCTTCTGTTCACGAGCTGGTGTGACCGGGAGAAGCGGTCTTTATCTGCGTGACCCTCAGGTTTTGAATCTGTAAAGTGGGCTGATTTCGCTTCTGAGAGAAGTCCACTGTGAGCGGTGAAGCTGACAACATGAGTTCAGCTTCTGGCACGAAATACAGACTCAGCCAGATAAGTCTCGTCCCTTCTCTCCCCAGCGAGGGGCCTTCTTCCCGGTCATTCTTGATTTATCACGTGCGAGCTGGAGCTCTCCTTGGCCTGGTCTCTTCGACTCTTCTACTCACCGCCCCGTTTAACAGTTAATGAATTCATTCTCTTAGGCAGAAAATACTTAGCGAGCACCTCCTGTGTGCTTCGTACCAGTTACTGGGGCCTCGGCGTTGAGCTTAGCGGAGATGCGACCCTCCCCGTGCGAAGCCTAAGGTATAAAGGAGATGACAGATGGTCGCGTAAGTAAATGTCCAGCTGTAATTAGGAGCCGTGCTGGGAAATGGACGAGCGTGAAGAGGCCACGGGAGGCGCCCTGACCCGAGCTCTATTTCCTGTGCCAACGTTGGCGCTAAAAGCCTACATGTCATCGAATTAGTCGTGTTTTGGGGGTCGTGTTTGCTCGACGGGAATGCTGTCTCTTTCTTAAATTACAAAGTCCGAGGAGCCAGACCTGTCCCCATGCCACGTCACGCCGGTGCTTTTGAGAGATGTTCTGAGCTCCAAAAGAAATGGATTCAAACAAGAGAGGAATAGAATTTGAAATGCATACGTATAGAACATCTCGTTCAGCAAATGTTTGCTAAGCGCCTACTCCGTGCTGCGTGCTGTGTGCGTCCTAGGACTGCAGCTTTGAATGGGGCCCAGACCTCGCACCCCACAGAGGACGCAGCTTCTGTTATTCAGGGCGGAGGAGAGGGAGAACTTTCACTGTTAGTGAGGTACGGGGCTGGCCCAGGCGATACCCGCAGCGGGCAGATGTCTCCTGCCGGCCCTTCCTCGTTTGTGGCCTCCTGCAGTGTGGCCGCTGCTCTTGACTGATACCATAGAACCTGCCTCCCTTGGGCCCAAGAGGCACATGTGTTCAGGTCCTCTCCGAGAGCACTCTGTTCTGACCTTGAAACCGAACGCAGACCTGATGCTTTCAAGGTTTCTGGGAAAGGGCCGGCAGGGGCGTCCTCGCATCTTGCCTCCCACGGCCCCTTCGTCCTTGGAACACACACGTTTTTAACTGGCCTTACGCCGAAAACGTCTCTGCCTTTGTGACACGGCTCGAACAACTTGAAGGACGGTGTCTCAGGCCGGAAAAGAGAGAAAGGCCGTGGGGCGGGGCCACAGGCGACACGGAGCTGACCGGAAGGGCTAATCGCCTTCGAGCCCATATTCTTTTTTTGTGTGTATGTGTTTTTCATTTTTAACCAAAGGGGAAAAAAGGAAATTTAGCATAAGGATAGAAAGCACCTGGCGGGAGAAGAGTCGGAACCAGACCTCTCCTCCGGAGACGCGGCCAGGTCCTGCCTCTGCCTCCCAGGCCGCCTGCCTCCGCCCGTCCTCTCTGCCACTCAGCCCGTGCGAGCATGGGCGAGGGCCGCCCCATGACGCCTGCGCTGGGGACTGCTGACTGTCTTTGCTTCCGATTTCTAATTTTGAAGGGAGAGGTTTGGACCCACTCGGGTCTCTTCTCCATCCCTGGCAGGGGTCTGGGTTGCACCGTGCGTGACATCCTGGGGTGCACTCTGTGCATGGGAGGGGGACAGTCTGAAGAGAAAGAGGGGACAGTCTCACGAGCTAGCAGACACCCCCGAACCTTATTCATTCTGAAAGAATGCCACTCAGCGCAGAGTGGAAAGCCAGAGTCAGTGCAAACACATTCTTTTTTTCCCCCAAACACATTCTCGATCGATCCGCGTCACCTTTAGTTCACAGAAAGATCTGAATGCCATGAGCCTGGGCACGGGCCTCACTCCGCTCCCCTTTAAACTGAAAATCGAGCTTAAGCTCCAAGGGCAAAACAAAAGCCCAGGTGTTACCTCCATCTAGTAAACAGCTCTCCTTACTCAGCCACGACTCTTGGTGGATTCGGCCCCGCCCCCGGACCTCAAGAGGCCGACAGAAGTTTTGCTTCCCAGCTTCAAGCACCTGACCTGGCTGTGATCCTGGTGGCCTTCCGCATTCCACATCTCAGGCATGCAGCACGGACAGCTGGCCATCCGCCTGGCAGTCGCCTCGGCCCTGAGAGCTACAGCACGAGGCGCCTCTCTCTGCATCCTGATCTAGGGACAGGAGAGCAGCCACCCTGTAGGACTGCTGGGCCTGCAGATGCTGGACTTACTGATGACTCGTTTACGTTTCACAGGAAGTAGCAGCAGTGACCCAGGCAGTGACCAGATTGTGTCCTTATGTTCCAGTTTAATCCCCTAGAATTAAATATGCCTATGATTGCTAGGGATGCGGGTGTTTATACAAGCATCACCTATTCTCAGGTATGGTGTTTACCGAATGCTCAAACTGCTTCTGTCTATACGCTGGGCGCCTTGCATCCACCTTGGCTAGACTCTGTGTGACCCTGAACGTATACACCATGGGCTTTGCTGAGCTGGGCTGGGGGGATCTTTTATCTATTAAGAACCTCTAGTTCAGAGAGATAGTCAAATCCATCACAGATCACATTTAAGCAAAAAAAAAATTTTTTTTAATTTCATAATTCTGATCTATTTGGGAGGTGAAAATATAAAATATTGCACTTTTAAAAATAAATGCATCATTAGCAAGGACCACACAGCTCTATTCAATAAATGAAACAAATCAAAAGAATAATTACCTGGCAGCCTCCTCTCTCTAAATTCTTAAATACACATCACCGGGGGGAACCTGGACACAAAGAAATGGCAAAAGGTTTCAAGTTCACCTATGCCCGAAGCCATGGAGAAACTGCTGGCAAGAGAACAGGACTTCCCCAGGAACACAGTCTCGAGATAATCGAGGGGGTGTCACACAGTGAACAAGTTGTCCAAATCGAAATTTAGCAATATACCCCCAATCGAAGGTCACTAAGAAAGCCAGTAGGAGTAGAAGATTATTTCATCAGGAATAAGAAAAGAGCCCCAAAGACCCCATTAGTCCCCTAATTCATTCTGCACCGAATGCTGTTCTATGGTACAGACACTGGGAGAGGCTCTAGGCCACCCCCAAATCTTCTCCCGGGAAAAGAGAGAAGAGCGAAGGAAGGAATGGGGTGGGCAGCCATCCCTGTTCTCCGCTGGAGCTGGAGGCACTCCTGAGAAACTGCGCAGAGTCCCACAGCCTTGGCGGCATTTGTCACTTCCAGCCAGGCAGTCATCATTTCTGCTTCCTGATGACACTGTTAGTGACACTGCAAGTCGAGCCAGTCTCGTGCGAGGTGAGACGAGGGGCAGCCATCTGGTGTGCTGCGGTGGTCACCTACCCATACCCAAACGACCCGAACTCCACTGGCTCTACTTAAGCATCGAACTCGAGTCTGAGAGGAAACAAACCTCTTGGCACTTGGCAAATGGGCAACAGAGAATACTTGAGGGGAAAAAAGCCTGGTAGAGTTCTAGCCCCGCCTGGCCACAAACTAGCCAGCCGTGTGATCCTGGTCAAGTCACAGAATGTGTTGAGCCTCTGTTTTCTCATCCATCGAATGAGGATCTGAATACCCGTCTCACAAAACTGTTGGAAGGATTTTACGAGCCCACATATAAAAGGCGCTTTGCAAAATACCATGTTGTGCAGATGTAGGCTAGTCGGATTGGGTCAGGCGCTAATGCCGTCTGACACATGGGGACAGTTAGACTCCCCATCAGCTTTCCTCAGGGTTCACGTATCCATCCAGAGATGAAAATCTAAAGGCGCGACAGGCTTCAAGGCCACGGGGGAACTATATTTCACTTACAGCAATTAATCACTTGACTGGGAAATCAAGAAAGAGCAGACAGGCACGTGACTTACATATAAGGCAGGAAGGGACCAAGAGGAAGAACAGAGAGAAGGTGAAGCTCTTGCCTTGGGAATCAGGATCCCGGAGCAGGGAGAAGACACGGGATGGCTCTGTTTTTTATGGCAGCCTTGTAATACTACTCGACTTAAGAATATGAAATACATATTTGCATGTTACTTAATAAAAATAAAAAATTAAATGGAAAAACTCTGGACACTAAATGAGCCATCTCATTGGAAATTCCGCGAGAATTTGAAAACACGATGCAACATTTATTCCGCAAATGTTTACTGAGTGGAAATCATACGCCAGGCATTTAGAAGTATCCGTGAGTGATTAAAGATGGAAAAGCTATGGCCACCGATTTGGAGAAGCCCGAGAACTAGCAGGGGGACAGACGTGGATATAAATAGCTCCGATAAAGTGTCATGGTAAAATGATATTAGTTACACACGTGGCAGACTAGCTATGACCTAGGGGGACAGGTCAGTACGGAGGTGGCTCTGAAATAAGTCTTTTGCTCCTGAGTCGTTCTTCAGAAATGAACTTTTCTGATTTCTTTTTCCTCTTATACAAGCAATGCGTGCTCATTACCTTTGAAACAGCAGAAAATGGACATAAGCATAATAGGTTATCATTAGGGATGCTGTGGTAGCAACAGCATCCCCTCAAAGAATCTGCCGCTGGCACGTGGACATCCAGACCCCTCTGCGCACAACGGCATGTGGAAAGCGAGTGCCAATCCAAGCGTCGGTGGATGGGGACTGGCTGCGGAAGTTGTAATGCCGTCTATGGAACGTTATACGGCCACTAAAAAGATGTACCACGGGGAAGGATGCCCGTGATCTAGTGTCGATTTAAAAATTCAACATGCGGAATAATGTGGATAGTGTGATATCTATCTATCATCTACCTACCTACCGACCCATTAATCCAGCTATTGTAAGGGCTTATATAACATAAGGCAAGGACACAGGCTATGGAACCAAAACCCCTGGGTTTGAATCCTGGCCCCACGACTTCCCCGCAGGGTGAACGTGGGTGATTCGCTGAAGCCCCCTGTGTCTCGGGAGACTCAGCATCCTAAGAATTAGTGAGTTAATACACATAAAGCGCTTAGAATAGCGCCTGGCATGTGGTGATGTCAGAGGTGTTAGCTACAGTAATAATAATTATATATACACCAAAGTACTGAGCGTGGGTAGAGATGGGGTGTAATGGAGAGACTCTCACTTCTTGCTTCACTTTTCTGTATTTTTTTCGACGTTATGAGACCATGTATTACTTTCAAATTTTAAGAACGGTGAAACAAAATCATTCCAAAATATCGGGTCAGGAAAGAAAGGGGTCTCTCACGGCTGGGGGTGTATTCATCTATGAAAAAACTGGTTTAGAAGGTCCCTTTTGAAGGAGTAACTTGGGGCCCAGGATTTAGCCGTCTCCCTAAGCGAGAGGACTCCCGTTTTACTGACAGACCTCTCAGGGAAAGTATGGTTTTGAAGTGAATGTTACTCACAGCATAAATCTTTTGCCGAAGGACACAGAATGGCATGTAAGAACTGACTTCAAAGCTGCTCATGACTCACGGTCCCAGGGGGCAATTGGTCTTGTTTTCCATCCCTGCCTTCCGGAACCCGGTCCGGTAGGTCTCAAACTCCCGCCAGGGTTTCCTCTGACCACAAGTCCCGTGGCAACCGAGACACTTTGGTGTCCCCATTCCCATCACGTCCACGTCCCCCAAGCCTCCTCTTGGGTCTCCCTTGCCAGTGGTTCCGGACCACGTAGATGGTCCCTGACACCCTCCTGTGGACCCAGCGGCATCTCAGGATTCTCCAGTGTTCCCCGGGCTATTGGTTTTCAATTTCCTCTAATAAATGATGACGAGCGTGGATGCGGTCAGGACCTTACCTGGTGGGCTTGGTGTCAGGCCCCTTAATAAAGGAGGGAAGGATAACGAGGAAGAAGAACAGCACGGCCAGAAGCAAGAGCCATCGAACAGCCTGGCCCAGACGAGTGAGTCTCCACAGGTAGGACCTCATGGTGGCGAGTCAGGCCCTCGGGAAAATTCTGCATATCCTGGGGCTTTGATGCGGACTGCAGAGAGCAAGCGCCGGGGTCCCCTGGCCCAGGAGTGCACACCCGTTATCTTCACGGGAGCCACGCTGAGTCGATCGTGTCTGCCACAGAGAGGAGGAGCCGCCCGCGCTGCCTTATGAAGGTTTGTAGGCTGACGTGGCTCGAAGGAAAAGCCCTTTTTTTTGGATAGGTTCTTCTTCCTTTCCCTGGTCTCTGGAGCCGGTTTCTGAAGATGGAAGTGCGTGAGAAATGGACCCACACTACATGGAACCTCACTTTCACCAGGTTCCGGCCCCCCGGGGGACCCTGGACAGGTGCAGGGGCTGGAAGAGCCTTACTCAGCCTCCGTGCGCACCGTGAGTTTTATAAGAAAAATCTGGGGAGCCCATCAGGTTTGAGGACCGCCCCCCTCCGGCCGTCTT